AGCAGGTGGACCAGTGAAGAGGCCATGCCACCATCTCAACCTGAATCTATTCAATGTTCTTTAGAAAAGAAGCTTAGAGTATTTCCTTTTTATTGTCTTTTATATTATATTTTATTAATCTTAGCTTTTATTCATTACTTTATCCTTTTTTCTTTATTTTATTCTCTTTCTATCTAGTTTCTTAAATTGACCACTTATTATGTTTTTAGATTTTTTAAATAATAAAAGCATTAAGTTTATACATTTCCACTTGAGTATAATGCTACCTGTACGCATAGGCTTAGGTATGAAACAGTTCCTTTTTTTGTTGATTTCCATATAACTGTTTCAGTTTTGATTTCTCTCTTTGATCCAGGTTGTTCAATTTTGTTTTATTTTCAATTATTTAAGATTTTTTGACATAATTTTGATGTTGACATAATTTTATTAGCTTACAGTTAGAGAAATTGATCTATAGAAACACTATATTTCAGAAAGGTTGTCTTTCTGAATAAGTATATGAGCAATTTTTTTTAATAAGTAAAAATTTTTAAAAGCCTATAGAAAGTGGGCAAGAAAATAGCTTATTAGAGGTGCATAAATGTTATTTAATTTTTCTACGTTAGTTGAAAAATAAAGGTTGCTGGTTAAAGATGGAAAATTGAGCACATAATTCTACCCTGTTCTCTACAAAGACCTCACTAAAAACTACAATAAGTGGCTTTTAAAACAATTGTGAATCCACAAGAAGAAAGAGAATAAGAAAAGAGAAGACTGGAACCTAATTTTGTGAGCTAACATGTACAAAGATGAGTGGCAATTGATTGGGAGCCACTACCATAAGATAATGAAATTGTACACATCTTGAAGCCTACAGAAGTGAGATGGCCTTCCCTTGTATCCTTCATGGTCCCTAACAAAGGGATGGGCACATAACAGCTTATTAATAAATATTTTTAATCATAAAAATATAGGTTAAAAAGGGAAAAGTAAATACCAGAGGAATTCAAAAGCCAAGAACTTTCAGAAAACTAGGGACTAAAATAAAGGTGAAGTATTATGAATATACAGAAACTTGACCACACTTACAAAAGTAGAGAATAGAAGAAATGAGCAATTAAAATCCTATCTAATAAAAGAGAAACATGGTAATTAGCGTACATCCAAGATGGCGGCTGGCAGCCAGGCAGCTTGAAACTAACATGAGGCTTGCTTGCTTCAGTGACGGAGGAAACCAACGTTCCCCGTCTGCCTTGCTGGCCTCTGAGCTTGCAGTTTGAAACATAGTTACAAATATAGAGGCTAAACAAAACCCCAGAAACCTGCTTTCAGCGAGCCAGGCTCTCAGAGCTGGAGTTGATACAGTGTTTCGATTATAGAACACAAACAAACCAG